TTTCTTTTATGCGCTACTTACAAAACTCTCAGCCACTACAGTTGTATTCACAAGAATTCACAGCACAGGAACTGCAAAAGCAAGAACAGCCCTCCCCTCCCACTTGAAAGGAGCTTATAGATAACTTTACAATGTAAAACAAGCCTTTTTGATACTGCTAAAGCTAGTAGCTTCACTTCACTAATTTTTAAAATTACTTTAAAGACTTCTTTTTGGGGATTTTTGCTCACGATGCCATCACACGGAAGACCAAGCACCCAGAAATTCTGATTGTTCTAAAGATTTTCTGTATTCTCCAGGCCCCTGTGGAGGATGCCACTTTTTCTGAACTAATGCTTCAATAACTGTACCTTGACTTTCAAATATAATATCTAAGCCAGTTATCAATTTTTTAACAATCTTAGTTTTACATCAGAAAACTTCTCTTTTCCCTTCCAGCTCGAAAATCTGAAATGCAAATAAATCAAGGTTTAAACCTAAAGCTTGAGGTGTGGGAAATAAAATATACATGTAACAGTTGTATCCTTCAGGCCGAATTTAGTGGGTAGTTGGTGTCTGTTGTCTTTTGCTACCAGTCCCAGCTTTGTTAAGAATGGGGGTCTGCGGGAATATATCATCCCTCCAGACATTTTTGTTCAGTTTGTTCAGAATGCTGTGTCTCTGCATTGCAGCATAGCCTGGAAGAAGGAACATGGGTCTGACAGTCCTAGTTCTGCTATGGTTAACAAATATGAGAAAAAGGATAGTTTTGCATGCAAAAGAAGTACATTTGAGTCTAAAAAAGGGTTGATATACTTTGTGGTGAGGTATTATTAGGCTGTAATATTAAGAAATAACAGTATGTTTTGGTGGAATCTGGCTTGTATTTTAAGAGTGATTAGTACAATCTGTGATCTGCAACAAAATCAGACCTGACTTGAAGACCAGGCCATTATCCCAAAAGAAAAATACTCAGTGAAAAACATCTAACTATGTGCTTCAAAATGCCCAAATTCAAAGTGTACAAGAGACAATATTTAGCTTAGTGCCTTTCTGGGACTTAAATGTCACCAAGTTATAGCTAATTTTCAAATATTAGGATGCCTGTGCATCCCTAGCCTGCAGGTCTGTTTTAATGCAGATGGAAGTGATGGGGATGATATTCATTTGTCTTTATCTCAATAGACTGAAAGTTTTGGCTTCAAGGATCCTGCCATATCTTTTTCATTCTATTTGATCTAGCGGTTAGGTATGTTTGTCATACTCATCACCACAGTATCTTAATGCTCTTGGATGTCAAGTTATTATTGCACAGAAAAAAGAACAACAGCATTTGATTAGGAAAACAAATGGTTTCAGAAAACTAAAACTGTAACTTTAACAGTGTGAACTTTTAAGACAAAATCTAAGTAGCCAAACAGATTGGGAATTATAATTTCTTATAATAAGGCATGGTATCTTTCTTCTTTGTGGTCATTCTCACCATTTTTCACACATGCAGAATCACAGATAATTATTCTATAAATGGGAGAAAACAATTAAAAAGTTTTAAGGATGGGGAATATGTAAAAAACTGCCTTCTCAAAAAATATGCACCTTTATAATAAAGTTTTAAAAGGATATTCTCTCTGTGGAACAGATACAAGACAATATAAGGAAATAACAAATCCAAGAGTGAAAAAGATGGGTCAGGAATGCAGATTCAAGTATTGCAATCCCTATGTTAGGGTTAAGAAGTAATTTTTTCTCTCAGAAGTTTTCTGGTAATTCCATACTTCAAGGCTTCTTCTGGTCACCCCTAATGGTCAGGAAATGATTTCTTCCCCTCAGGTATGCCTTATTGCTTTCTGTTTTTTCTCTCCACCCTCCTTTAGAAGTGTTGACGCTGGCCAAAGACTAATGTGGGAGTTCTGACTGAGGCATACTGGCATCCAGAAACCTCTTGGTTATCTGTCTGGTGGACCTTACTTTTCTGCTCTTGCTCAAAATGATCAGCAGATTGGGTCAGAAAGGAATTGTCCTTTCCAGAGATTAGCAAGAACTCTGGGGCTAGGTACAGACAGTCAAAGAGCCTGAGGCTGAATTGATTCAGCCTTTGCAGGTTAGTCTAAGATGCACAGGTTAAATTGAAACAGAAGTGAACAGGCATTTACCTTTGATTCAGGAAGTGGAGCCACATGCCTGCAGTGGCTCAGACCAGAAGTCAGGGGGAGCTACAGCACAGCTCTCTGGCTGTGTGTTCACTTCCTCTTCCTGCTGCCCCTGAGGTCTCTGGGATTTGCAATCCAGAATTATAGCAGCAGGACTCTGCAGGGTTGCTCATCACTTCCTCTTCTTGCTTCCAGGTGTCTCTGGGATTTGTAGTCCACAGTTGCAGCCAGCAGTAAGTTTGAGTGGGGGAAGGGGTGTTTAAGTCCCCTCCCTGGCCTCAAACTCCAGCCAGGGGTTTGCCCCCCATAGACTGGGCTGTATCCCCAGCTGGGCTCTCCCTTCCCTGCCTCCCTTGTCAGTCAGCCCTCATTGCTCCAGCTAGGGAGCAGAGGGGCAGGGCCAGCCCTGCTCTCTGAAGCAAACAGCCCAGCCCACGGCTGGAAAGCATGCTGGGGGACTGTGATTTAACTTGAACCAGGAAGGGGTCTGGGGCAGAAATGTCATAAACTGGTTTGACCCAAATCAGTTAAGTCTGGTACTACATTCAACTAGGTTTATCTTAAACCAGTTTCAGCCATTTTGAAACTGGTTTATGTGCACTGAGCTTCTGTTCTGTTATAAGTTTTAAACTAGTTTCTGATGACTTAAACCAGTTTATGTGTAACTTCTGTCCCTAGCCTGGGGACCATACATGGTCCTGTTTTCTTTGTGAATATAACTAAAACTACTTCTCTGTCATTTCAGTGGCAAGGCACTGGTCCTTTGTCTCCTCTACCTTTTACCAATGGCATGTTGTAATGTTCTTGGTTTTGTTTTCATAAGGTGCTTTGTGGCTGTGGTCTGTGAAGAGTTGCAGTAGATAATTTTACCAACTCTTTGGATGAATTCCACTCTAATGTATGCAAGTTAAAAAAAAAAGAAAAAGGACAAGCAAAGTCATGTAGAGAAAAAAATGAAACACCAAAGAGATGGTGAACTACACTAGTCAATAGAAAAGGGTAAAAAAAGAATTATTGTCCACAGACCCTGATTTTGCTTTCACTTTTACACTGGGGTACCTCCATTTGTTTCAGAGAAGCTATGCTTCATTTACATCAACGATAGTGAGGGAAGAATCAGATCAACAAAGCTTATTTGAGAGTTTGAGGCTAGAAGCAGAAAATGGTAAAGAACCATGTCTTTGGAGAATCACTGTATTAGTGTTATACTGTGGAGTACAGACTTTGTATGTGATGTATTAGTAGGGTTCTTCAGGTTATAACTAATGCAAATTATATGTCCAAGTTCATAGGTAAGTAGATGAAATTCAAATAAGCCAAAATAAGTTGAGAGAGAGAGCCACAGAAGTCACGGTTTTCTGTCAAAATGTGTCCCTCTTCACTTCAGAAAAAAAACAACCATATTTTCCCATTTGTAACATTATTAATTTGAGGCATAGTGCTTGAACTGTACCTCTGCTTAAGTATGTATTTATTAAACCCAGATGAAGTGTTAAGCATGACAGGTCAAAACTTAATTATTATTTTTCTTGAATCCAGTGAGTAGGCATGTCTCACCTTATATTGTTATTGTTAATTATCATTATTTATCTCTATAAGACTGGCCATGGCCAAAGCCAATGATTACGTGTTCATAATTATCTGTCCTTGCCAGCAGTATTTTTCCTGCAGAGCCACTGTGTCAGTTCCAATCACTCTACTAATGAATTCTGGAAAACTCAAACCCATACTATTATTTTAGGCAAAAATTAAAGCTGCCACTTGCAGGGTTTGTTGTACAAACCTTCTTTTTGAAAAATATTAAATCTCCTTGAAGAAAAGTGGCCTATTCCTAGCACATTCCTGTGAACAATGAATGTGTTTATATATCTGAAGAATGGAATCCTGCTTCAACCTTTACTTCTGGAGATCTTAAGTCTCATAGCCACCATCGCCTGTGGTAAAAGAACTTTCTTTTGCATATATGTAAGAACACATACAGTTATGCAGTCATAAAAATCCAGTCATTAAAAGAGTTATGGTCATGGAATATGGTGCTTGAGTCCAGTTCTAAGTCAACTTCTTCGCAGTACTAATGTTTAGTTTTTCTGCATATATCTTACTTCATTTGTCCACATATCTAAACTCTTATTAGTAGGACCAAATTAAGTTTGGTCGAGAGCTTTTATAAGCTGTTTATTTATGAAGCTGAGGAACACAGGGGTAGATCCTTGTTAACTCCTCACAACTCTCTATACCACAGTTGTTTGGAAGACCCTGAAATCAAAGGAAGGATTGCAACCATGATATCTCTGTAAATAGTGCATGCCAGTTACCATGAGTCACCAAGCCAGTCCAATATCCACCTTCTGAATTGCTCACCTTGGGAGCTGACTGTTCGGCAAAAGCTGGAAAAGTTTTTGCAAATGTACCAAATGTACTTGTTCTCTCTTTCAGAGTAGTTATTTAATGTACTCCAATTAATACAATATCTTTAGGAGTTAATTCCATTAACAACTTAGTTAATTAGCAGGGTCAAACACTGTTATGTATTTGCTGAAAAGAAAGGAAAGGTTCAGTGTATAGAAAGAAACGGAACTTTGGCTGCTTCCATATTTAAATAATATTACCATGGAATCAAATTCCATTTTGCAAGATTGGAAAAACCCTTTTGAAAGAGGGTTCCAACCGTGGAAAAAACTGGAGTGTTTTTGGATGATGACAGCTATCTAGACACAAGTAAAAGTAATTCAAAGAAAATACATACATGGATGATTCAAATGCAGCAGATATCCCATGCTATATAACCATTACCTATTTCTACCAATAATGTAAGATTTTAAAAGATAAGGGTGACATATTACAGGACACTGCAGGGGCTCTCCGCCTTACCTGATTCATCTACTCGCAGCTTTTTACTGGGATTGTCACCACTGTCATCATCAGACATTTCCATCTCCTCTTCCCGGCGGATTCCCATGAGCTGTTCACTGTGAGCATTCCGAAGCTCCTAAAACCCAAGATGGCCCCTTATCAGTATTGACTTCCATGAGCTGATCTCTCTATTACTTAACTATTTTAGGAGTACACTGATTTAAAAACAGTATTAATGAACAACTTCAGTACTGAACCACTGCATGTGTTAGAGTTAGAAGAGGGGAATTCTTCAGGGTAAAATATTTAAAGAACATGTGCAGGGGGAGGATGGGGGAAAAGAGAAGATGAATTCCCTTTGTTTAATGATTATTAGTCCTGCCCGGTAGCAGTCATAATGCCATACATGCAGTATTTCATAGATCACTTATAGATCAAAGAGTATATAAAGGTGTTATCAGGTTGGGTAAAACACAGAACCCTGCTCCTATATGCCATTTGGTTTCCCTGTCTGTATATCATAAACCCAATTTTCTCAAATTCTAAACACCTTATTGGTATCTTCTGCATCTTGATATGAAATACATGTCAAGAGCTAATGGCCCATTCTTAGAGAAGTCATTACAAGGGCAGAAGAAAGGCAGAAAGCCTGTATCTGTGTAACTAAGTAAACGATAAGCAAGCAGAAACCTAGACAGTCTTTGTTCGCAGACAAAAAGGACAGAGCTGGAATAATAGCTGGCTTTTTAATGGTAGCACAGAAAGACTGAGAGAATTCTATTTTGTCCTAATAATACTGTCAGGTGTACACGGGGATGTTGCACAGTGATTAGTGTAGCGCTTTTCAGTTTGCAGACAGCTAATTTTTCTATCGACAAAGAGCCTAATTCCCAAAGAGGTGGTTTGAAATCTTTGAAACAAGAAGTAGCCACGTGGAAGGAAGAAATGGTGTTGAAGGTTCCCACTATTTATCCATGCAATTAACAATAAACTGTCAGAGTGGAAATGAAAATAAAAGGAGGATGTTTCCCTGAGGCTGCACCCTGAATTCATCAGTAAATCTGGAATACTATAATAAAAGTATATATAGCCATTAATCACTGCAGAGGCAAGGAGGCTAATTAATGGGTGTTTTGCATTGGAATAATTCAGAAAAAATACTAAAACGGTAAATAGCAAACCTGTATTTAATGGATTAAAAGCCATTTAAAGCAGAAAATTATTAACCACTTTGCAGTTCCATACTATAAAGGACCCACAAGCATCATTCACTGGGGAGTATTCTGTATCTACTTAGGCAGCCGCATGGGTAACTTATTTTCGGTCATGAATATCCCTGCAGCATCAATTTCCACATTATCTTTAACAGCCAAACCAATAATCTCTCATGGGGAACCTCAGTAAGGCCTTTCATTTGGCTTGCTTGCAAAGCTTACATAGTGAGAAGATGGGCAAAGGGAAGGTGTCAAGGTAAATTTAAGCAAATTAGCAAAGCATGGACTAGTCAAACAATATGATTTAAATTCAACAGAGCCATTTGTTGACATTTGCATAGCATTTTACACCTGTGACATAAGAGCTTTCTAAATAAATTGGTTCAACCAGAGGCTTCATATCCTTCTAAATTATTTTTATTGTTTCCTTTCTTTAGAAAGGAAAACAAAATGCAATAATGTTTAAAGAAGCAAAGATGTTTAGTGAATTAACATTTATAGAAAGTCCTGCTTTTATGCAATTCATTCTATTAAAGATTTAGAAGCTAGCAAATGAATGCTATGATACATCCCTTCATGAAAAGCTGATTTATGAAGGGACACTTTTAATACGGAGAATGTAAACTAACAGAAAATGTTGTTTTCACACCTTTCTAAAAAATAGATAGGTAACAGCCCCAATGTCTCGAACTTTCAGTTAAAGACTTTATTTGCTACTCATTTGAAGTATTAGTGAACAAAATGCAAAATATAGCTCTTACCAATAAATTATGCTAACATTTTATTTTAAGTGTCCCATTATTGTGAAATCATTTGGTATTCACCATAATAGCAATGATAATAAAGAATTCATTTGGTATTCATGTGGATGTTACATCTAGTGCCATTGGTATTCAACTATAATTTAGCATTAGTTAATGGGCACTTAAAATGTTACCCACATGATTTATATCAAGGCACTTTAGTGTTTCTCAAATTAAGTGTACAACACTTATTTTACAAGTGTACTACAAAATAATTAAATAAGTGCATCTTACCTTCTAAAGTTTTTGTTTTGAGACGGGGAAAATCATTAAGAGGACTGCAATGTTAACAATTAACATACTGTACTACATGGAGATAAGCAACTTGATATAAATTACTCATATAAAGTAAGAAAGAAAACAAAGACAGTGGTACTTACTTTTTAAAATACAGGCTCATAGCGTATCTACTGAATTAAAAACGAAAGCTGGATGACCAAAAATGTAAAGTGGGGTTACTACTTCCTTTGCTACCAAAGGAAAGTGGAATCTCAGACCTCTTTTCCTTCATTTCTTATACTCATGCATATGACAGATGCATAGGCATGATTTCATATAGCTACTGCAATGTCAACTATTGTTACATTTATTGTGTTTGCAAACCATGAACTTTGAGTTAATGTGAGTATTTACTTTTTAAAATAAGGACATTGAAGAGATGGGAATGACTACATCCCAGTTCTGGACTGAATAAACCTTAACAATATTTTTAAAGAAAATTTTATTTTATTCTCTAGCAAACTTATCTTATTATGGCCATATAATAATGCAACTAGAAAAAATAATCTGCATTATACCTTGCTTTTTTCCACCAGATCTTGCTGTATTCTTAAAAAGCTATTTTTTCATATAAAAATGTAATTCTATAGATATTTTAAAATATCTCGACTAATTTCACCACTTCAGTTCATTATGTTAGAGTAATCAACATATTCCTCCAATGAGTTCCCATTTCTTGTATGAAAAACAGCAACACATTGCTCTCCATTTTAGTGTTATTTAACAAATTTTATTGTAATGGGAGCAATGGGAGCAATTCATACTGTAAATGAGACTGTATAATGGTTAGTTGATTAACTGCTAAAACTGGTCATAAATATTGTGGAATGCAGTATGTCCAGCTACAGTCACATTTGTTCTGTGTCAATCCAGCTGTGAGACGATGGATAAAAAGTAATAATAAAACCACCAACCTCAGAATGCTTTCGCCAAATGTCTATGTTCTTTCGCTGAGCTTTCGAGAAATGGTCCCAAGCTTTTTGTCTGGTAGAAGCGTTGAAAACGGCCACAATCTGCTCAACTTTGGTGAACAAGGAAGTCAAACAAGACAAGCAATTTATGTTGTGATCACTATAGAGAAGCAAAGCAAAGACACTAGGAGTCTATGGATGATGTCATTACTGAAACAACATCATCAATATCCATCCAATGACGTGTCTTTTGTACTTACATTTTAGCAATGTTGGAGATGTCTCCCTTCAAGTCTGTCTCCATAACTTTAGTCTATACAATTTATAAATATATACTTAAGATTGAACATGCATTTGCCTCTCAATCATATTAATTATAATTGTGTATACCTTTGTGTATGTGGGTATGTGTGGTTTTTTGTGTTTAGTGACTGGAGGGAGATGAACTAGAGGTAGAGTAGGTTGGGTCAGTATTTGAGTCTGAGGCTTCCCTCATACTTCTCTAATGGAATCATCTCAAAGAGCCTCCTTTAAGCTAGAATCTGATATTTAGGGATCCTGGTTTTCTCTGATAAAAAATCCCCAATTCTGGATTTAAAAAAGTAACCCTACATCCACATTTTTCCATGATTAAAATGAAATGCCACTAATAGATATATATAAATGGGTTTTCATTTTGATCATGGAAAAATGTGGATTTGGGGTTACCTTTTTTAATCTGAAAATTGGGGGATTTTTTTTATCAGAGAAAACCAGGATCCCTGCTGATATTTAGTCCCAACCCCAAATTTAATACATTTAACCAAATTTGCTCCTTGCCTAACAACTACTTTATCTTACATCTCCATTTTTATCTACATCTAATCCCATTCCTCTCTTTCTCTTAGCTTCATCCATATGCAATGTATTGCTAATACAGCACTAACCCATGTAAAATGCTTCAGCAAATGTGTGATGCTCCCAAATCTTGACACTAGGGTTTAGAGCAAACTAGATTGCTCACAAGCCCAATTTTCCACAAGAGAAAGGGCTGTTCTTCCAACTGAGCTGTTGTGTTGGTCCGTCTGTTCAACTGGAATGAGTTCCATTTCTGTTTTATGGTTCTTTGCTATTTATTCTGTTGAATTCTCTAGCTAAGCTACCACTATCTGTTTCCTAAAGTTACTGATCTTTGGCTGTCTAATCCTGCTACACTTTGTGGGTGTTTACATGTGATGTTTCATTGCCATAGCAATGCGCTATGGCGATGTAGCATCCATAGGTGTCTACACATGATCAACAGCTACTTTGCTGTAGTGGTGCACTCTCCTGTTATAGCGTGCCACTACGGCAAAGTAGCTGCTAAAAATAACTATGCACCACGCATATGGTGCAGTACAGGCAGTTACTGTGCCATGCTTTACTACGTCTAAAAGGAAATAGTTAAACATGGTGCAGTTAACAACGTTGTTGTAGAACAATGTGTAGATGCACCTTCTGAGAAAGAACGGAATGATCTATCTCCCTTCAAATGGGCCAAATGACCCTCTCTTGAACTACCAGATAGAGACATGGATGCTTCTGTTTAAATGATCAGCAGTGAAATGGGTAGAAAGGGTGATATTTCATCTTTTGACTGAGGAGTTAACATCAAAGACACAAATGGGGGTATATTTTTCTTTTTGCATTACTATTGCAGGCTTCTTTCAGTCCCAGGAAGACAGCATTAATTTGAGTCACATATGGAAACTTTCCTTTGCAACCATCAGGACTTGTTAATTAATTGCTAAAACTCTAACATTAAATATATTTTAAATGATATTTTCAACTCTGCTTAAATTAAATAGGCTGCCTCAAAACTACTGCAACAATCACTTGTCCCATTCCTATTTAGTTCACACTCTGGCAGGAGATGCAATAATTTCACTGTGTTAACAACTGCTTGGCTCCTGGGGTGTATTGATAAAAGACAGAGTTATAGTGTATGTATATTAAATGAATTTGAAAAAAATAATGAAAATACGTAAGTACTTCTCATTTCAGATGTATATAAATTACTGATAGAATTGAATTATTATGTTGCATTAGTGATGCAGGTGCATGGACTATCTTGCCTAATTAACAATCTCTGTTTAATTAGCAAATGGAAACTGAAGTATAAAAGGTTCACAGAGATATGAAGAACTGCTGGTTTACCATCCTCCACTAGAAATTAATTAATAAGATCATCTGAATTTTGTAGAAACCTTTGAACTTTCAAGTATTTAATTAAGAGTTTTTTCTGCCGGTGCTAATATTTATCAGAAGACTTTATTTGATAATTTTAGAAACTCGCTTCAGTGAAAGCAGAAGACAAGAAGAGGTCATTAAGTTCTTCTCCACATCTTTCATAGTGTGCTGAGAAGTGAAGTGTGCTGAGAAGACCTTCTTCAGTGATCAATTTCTCAGGTGTTCCAAAAAAGAAAATCTAAAATGTTAAGTGTGTAAGATGACAAAAAGTTATGCAGTTAGAAGAAATATTATCCAAACTACCCCTCCAGATACAGGAGAAAATGTTACATGTCTATTCCAATCAATGTTACTCGGCACATACATGGAGGGACACATCTACAGATATGTCAAGCTAACATATATGTCTTTTGAATTTCCTAACATATTTCTCAATTAGCTCTTGTTTTACTTTTTTCATTTAGGAAAAAAAAAAATCATATGAAACCCAGTTCAGTAGTCCTCACTTTGGCAGATACTCTATTGACTCATTTCCCTGAGTAAGGACCTTGAATCCATATTTTCCTTAGTAGGATTCTTCTATACCAAAGCTGATAAACTCAGGAGGAGTGATCTTCACCATATGTAAACTGCACAGTTTGCATACAGCTCCTTTGACTACACACCAAAGAATTATAGGTGGAATGATGGAATATGCAGCAATTTAGCTTAGAAGGCTCTTTAAAAGCAGAAAGCGGGGTAGAGTTAAACCTTGTAGGCTAATAAATTCAGAGATATATAACCTCTCATAAGCAACATCTCACTCAAATCAGATGCCATGAACAGATGCTCAGGGAGCAGGAAGTCCTTTCATAGCACCTGACAAAGTAAGCTGTTGCTTCTGAAAGCTTCTGAATCTCTGAATTCATTAGTCTATAAGGTGGAACTGTACCATGGTTTCTGCCTGACTTCAGACTAACCCAGCTAATTACCTCAATCTTTAGAAGCAGGGCAGATGATAATGGGGAAAAAATCCACCCACAAAACTAAAGTTAAAAGGCAGCTGAATAGAGTTCTGAATTATACCTCCATTGCTTGAGATTGCAGAGGGGCTGTTAGGCAGGCTAAGGCAGACACGGAACTGGGACTAGCGACCCAAATCAAAGATAACAAGAAGTCCTTTTTTAAATACATAGGGGGTAAAAAGAAGGTACCAAGTAATGTGGAGCCTCTGCAGGACATGCTTGGTAATATGGTGGTAGCACCAGAGGACAAAGCTAATCTCTTTAACAGATTCTTTGCTTCCATTTTTCTGAGCAGGGACAGGGACATCCCCCACACTGGGATTCTGGATGGCCCCAGGGGAGGTGCACCCAGGCCCAGGGCAAGTGAGGACCTAGTCAGGGTAATTGGAGGGACTAGACATGTTCAAATCAGCAGGTCCTGATGATCTCCACCCCAGAGTGCTGAGGGAATTGGCAGAGGTCATTGCAGGACCCCTGGCACAGCTTTAAGAGCACTTGTGGTACTCTGGCGAGGTACCAGAGGATTGGAAAAGGGCCAATGTGGTTCCCATTTTCAAAAAAGGGAGGAAAGAGGACCCAGGAAACTATAGGCCCATTAGTCTTACCTCAGTCCTGGGGAAGCTCTTTGAGAAAATTATCCAGGAGCACATCTGCGAGGGACCAGCAGGGGAGATTATGGTTAGGGGCAATCAACATGGGTTTATTAGAGGCAGGTCTTGTCAGACCAACCTGGTTGCCTTCTATGGCCAGGTCACAAAAGCCTTAGACGCAGGTGTCACGGTGGATGTAGTCTTTCTGGACTTTAGGAAGACCTTTGACACTGTCTCTCACCCCATCCTCATTAAAAAATTAGGCGACTGTGGTGTCAATGCCTACACAGTCAGATGGGTCACAAATTGGCTGGAGGGCTGCACCCAGAGAGTGGTGATGGATGGATCTTTTTTGACCTGGAGGGATGTGGGCAATGGGGTCCCCAGGACTTGGTCCTCCAGCCCGCACTGTTCAACATCTTCATCAGCAAATTGGACGAGGGGGTGAAAAGCACCTTGTTCAAATTCACGGATGACACTAAGATGTGGGGAGAAGTGGGCACGCTAGAAGAGAGGGACAAGCTACAACTAGATCTGGACAGGTTACAGAAGTGGGTGGATGAGAACAGGATGGTTTTCAATATGGACAAATGCAAGGTGTTGCACCTAGGGAGGAAGAACCAGCAGTATACCTACAGGCTAGGGAACTCTCTTCTTGTAGGCACAGAGGCAGAAAAGGATCTTGGAGTCACTATTGATTCCAAGATGAACATGGGCCGCCAATGTGGGGTTGCAGTCAGGAAGGCTAACCGCACCTTGTCATGAATCCATAGATGCATCACAAGCAGGTCCAAGGAGGTGATCCTCCTCCTCTATGCGACACTGGTCAGGCTGCAGTTGGAGTACTGTGTCCAGTTCTGGGTGCCGCACTTCAGGAAGGATGTGGACAGCATCGAGAGGGTCCAGAGGAGGGCCACTTGCATGATCAGGAGGCAGCAAGGCAGGCCCTACGAGCGGAGGCTAAGGGACCTGAACCTTTTCAGCCTCCACAAGAGAAGACTGACAGGGGATCTGGTGGCCACCTATAAACTTGCCAAGGGGGACCAGCAGGTAATGGGAGAGTCCCTGTTCCCCCCACCACTACTGGGAGCAACAAAGAACAACAGCCATAAGTTGACTAAGAGTAGATTCAGGCTAGACATCAGGAGGCACTACTTCACAGTCAGGGCGGCTAGGAGCTGGAACCAACTTCCAAGGGAAGTGGTGCTCGCCCCTACCCTGGGGGTCTTCAAAAGGAGGCTAGATAGACACCTAGCTGGGGTCATTTGACCCCAGCATCCTTTCCTGCCCATAGCAGGGGGTTGGACT